CAGCATACAAAACAATCAAGTATTGGATCCATGGCGCTTCACCTTCAACAATGTGCACTAAAGTGAGGGACTCATTGCCTTTGATAGCATGCCAGAATGCCGAGAGCTTGCTTCTCGCGTACATAGCTTGGTCGTTTACGCTGAGAATCCTGTCCGCTTCTTCTTCCTTGCGAAAAGTCCCCATGAATGCTACAAACGCTGTTTGCATGGCAGAAGTATCTAGACGCTGTCGTTTAGACTCTGGGTCTTCCCTTCTGGTGCATATTGTTGAGAAGTAAGATGTACAGTCGAGGAACTTCGATGGGACTGCCTCTTCACGAAGGCGGAAATGTGTCAAAGGGGCACTGACCAAGCGTCCGGTAGCATTATCCACATATCAAGCCTCTCGAACTATGTTATCGTCCGTGAAAGGCTGGTCGCACACCTTGAAAGATAATTTTGTTTTCTACAAATAACAGCTGCTTTACGGGTGTGATAGAATATGAGGTGACCGCTCCTAATATTACGTTAGTCAAAGTCAATTCAATGAATTGGGTTCGACGCGGTTTTACTTCTCAGACATTTATTATTTCATTATTTTACTCACTTATCGCCCTACATCTCTCTCAGTCGAATGGCTATATTGCACCGGCACCGATTCATCAACAGAGCACCAGACCCTTCCTGAGCTGGTGGCTCCAACGCGAAACGGAGGGTTTGATAAACAGAGATATGGACGCGTGATTCTATCCCGTATTGTGCCATTAAACAAGAAAACGGCTTCAAAAATTCTTACCTCTTAAAGGTGTTCATGCAGTCAAGCCAGCGCCATAGGTAAACATGGTTATTTCTACTTGAGACAAAGGCCGATTGATGCCTCTCGGCATCGCTCGAGAGACTTCGTGCAGCCTCTCGAGCCGCAGCCGAAACAGAACACGGAAGCTGTACCAGAAACACTCAGAGACGAACCTGCACACATGACATAAACGGAAGATGCGAGCCAGCTTAAAATATAGTAGCGATCGATATATCATTTTTTATATAAAAACGCAAACTTAAAATTATATTTAACAACATTTTGAATACGGCACTGCAACTACTACGGAGCTCAAATCACCGACTGTTCGGGAAGAAACTAGACCAGAAAGGTAGAGAAACCCAAGGAGAAGCCTAAGGCAAAGCCAAAATTTCAGAATTGGCTCCTAAATCTGACGTGGATGTCGTGATGCCTCCAATCGCTACGGCCTTGACTCTAGGTGATGTTAGGTCTCTCCATCCACCTCCCCACCCTCTCCACCTACCTTCTATAACTTACCTTACCCCCGGCACCCTCTACCCTCTCCCCATCTCCTCCCGTTCTACTACCAAGTCCTCCCTCCCTCTTCTTCCTTGGTCATGTGACTGCAATGGACTTCTTCCAAAACCGACGCGCCCCGTCGCGGCGAAATATCACGCAGTGCACTCTGGGAACTAGTTGGCCACTCAGTTTCGGTTTCGACTGAGCAGCTTCATCTCATGCTATCACGCCGCGACCGAACGCGCTGCTTGCGTTTTCGATTATCTAACTTTTCACGAACGTACAATACACTCATTCTCGAGCGATACAAAACGAAGACGGGGGCACTTTCCTTGGTTCCCGAAACACCGGATATTGTGCGTGCGTATGCTTACGTAGTAAGTCGTGGCTTAGTCACCTCAACCCACGAGTGCATCTTTGAGCTCAGTGTCAGTAATCCCGTCTAGTACCAGTGGACTACAACTAAAATTTGTTCGTCTGGAGCCTTACACGCATTTCGTTTGCCAAATGTCCGCTTCTCGTTACTTCATTGGGCGAAAACCAAGCCGCATCCTCACAGGGTATCAAAGTTGAGGCCTGCGTTATGCATGAACTTTTAAGGAAACGCAATAAATTCGACCTCAGTACTGCACAAAAGTTACTATGATGTCTTCCTCGTGTCATCATATATCTACAACTAGAATTTTATGCTGATAGAAGATTAACTTCTCGCAAACGCTGAGATCGGCTAGCTACGACGGAGGCCCTAACAAGCGTCCCCTACTCCTCGCTAAGCCTTTTTGGACGAGCTCTTACTGACGCCCGAGATCTGTGCCGGGAACGGTGTGTCTGAAATTATCTCGGCATACTCAGGCAGGAAGAAAGCAAACACATAACAAATATTATGGCCATTAGCAGCCGTCAAATGCGCTTTGAATTCGTTCGAGCACTTGTCTGAAGAATGTCGCACCGTGCGCCGGACGGGCATGCATGAACCCCAATGCGGTGCGTATAGGGGTTCATGCCCGTCTGACGCACTACCGGCGAACGGTGCGACATTCTTCACACAAGTGCTCGACTTTTGCGTTCTTAAAACGGCCTGTATGCGCGAATTTGCCTATATGATTGCAGGATAACTTTATGCGCATACGCGATGTTGAATATTAGTGGAATGCAAGTGGGTGGGAACTTCACTTCGTGCAGTGCTGCGGGTCAGTACAGATAAGAGATAAGTGTGTTGAAATTGAGCTTTTCAATGGCACCTCCGAGTTTTACCTCGCGTACTCAGGCACATTAAGAAAAACAGTAATTGCAAAAGGTAATATTTCGTCTATGGACGCACGAAGCAAACTTCCTGATCAACAACACTAATGTAAAGGCGCTAGCTCGATGTATGCATACTTATAGGTTGCTACAGCTTGTTGATTCGTACACAAGCAAGATCCCCGAGCACCCGAGCTTCGCAGCGTCGAGACTCCCAGCACTGGCTCGTCCACATACCTCGATTGGAACGCTAACAGAAAGGCTCAAGTACAAAAATACGACAAGCACGTGTTAAGACAAGCTATACGTCTCGGGATTGTGCTAAAGCTTCGAGGTATGACCATTCAGGTTAGTTTAGAGACCACAAATGACGCTCTCGGGACCAGAAAACAATCCCTTGTCGACGTGTCGATCGAAACCGAAACCATGCCACCCTCCTCCCTGGCCAACTACTTCCCAGAGTGCAACGCGCGCCGTGTTGCATGCAGGGCTTTATGGAAGTAGTCTATTCAGTTTCCTCGCAAAATTGAGCGGGGAAATATACTTCCTGTCACACTAATTTCCTCTTCCTCTACCCTCCTTGCTTCACACTCTCCCTTTCCCAAATCTTCTCGCCCTCCTACAGTGCCCTCTCCACCCCTTCATCTGCCTCCCATTTCCATTTATCCCTCTCCCCTCCTCTGTTCTTTTCCCCCTAAAGTGCTCCTCCTTCCCTCCACCTCCCCACTTGCCGTTCTTCCCCACCGCCGGTCACGTGACACACTAATTCAGCCTCCTCAAAATTCATAAAAGTAGGTTCATCACTATCGTAACGACTGTTCAGTGCCTTCCAAATATATGAAGCAGGCATGTTTAGCTGCCCTGAATTTGTAGTTTGCGAACAAATCCTCAGACGGTGCTCGTTACTGGAAAAAGGTCCGACTCTTGACTGGAAAGAGCGGGGAACGTGAAATAAAGTCTTCGGTATAAAGCCCTGAAATGCCCGTAGAACAGGGACACATAAGGCTGTCCTTTCAGAAAACGATTCACTACAACTTCTGTTGTGAACGATACCGCTTCGCTTTGCCTGCCTACAAAGTTCGAAAGAATTGCAAAAGCAATGTACAGACAGAACCGGTTGTAGCAGACGACGGAGAATGTGCAGAGCAATACCTTGCCTCTCTAGAAATCTTCAGTGTAAAGGCTCGTTCACACTTGCGGAAGGCTCTCTTGATGCCGACCGACCTAGAGATGCAAAGAGCGTCCGCCTTTCACACTTGTTGCCGCCCGCCGCGTTCCCGCTGATCCGTTGTCTCGAAGGACCAGAGAAGGAAGCCTCCAGCAGTGTATGAAAAACCGCTCTCGTAGCCAGCATTTCGCTTCTGCGCGATATAATACAGCTAATAGCGCACAGTAACCAGAAGGATGTCCCCAATATTCTCTCGGCGATACAAGAATGCAATAATAAAATATTGCGCAAACCGGAGACAGCGTGGGTACGTACCGCTAGCGCCAATTTTATTCCACAGATGTCCTTTGTGGGCACTGTATTCGTTGTTCAAATGCCTAGTGTCGAAGAGCGTTGAATAATTCTTTAGTCTCGTTTAATATTACTTCCGACACAACCTTGCCACGAGACGGCGCCACTAGCGCAACTTGGGAACTCCGACAGCTCCGCCGGCAACCCGGACAACTCGGGAGATTCGGCTAGGATGTGACGTCAGTAAGCATAATTTTCTCTTGCGTTCTGATTGGCTGCAGTGGCGCGGAAACTTCTTCCGCGCCGAAAAAACCGCTCCCGTACCGAGTGCTCTCGCCGTCGAATATATTCCAACAGCGGCGAGCCAATTTCGCCGCCTGGCGTCCAATTCCTCGTGGATCCGCCCGATGATCCGCCCGCGGGTCCGTAAGTGTGAACGAGCTATCACGTGGTCGATGCCGCGGTGAGAGGCAGGAGCGTAGAGCTCTTTGCGCGCAGCCTTTTTTACACCTTATACGAAAAGAAGTGCCATTTAGCGTGTGTGTGATCAATTATCGAGTTTGCGCCAAATGAGGGTGTTCCCATAAAAGCCCTTCGCAGGGCGTGTAAGATGAAGACCGTGCACTTACCTGGATAGCCCGTTTCATTGATTCAGTGACGAGCCTTGCGACATCATTGCTGGGAGTTCCTCTTCACAGAATCTCGTCCCCATCTTTCTTTTCTCCGTTGCACCAAAGCTAAACTGCGATTCATTGAATGCACTAATACATTATCCTAATATCGTGAAAACAGAGTTGAATGCAGTTTTGTGCGTCCACACATGGCAGAATTTCTTCAATATGGCGACTCTGAATGGCAAGATGATGGCAGCTTGCAGGAATTTTGCATGCAGCCTATTACGTTGGGTTTCGTGGCATTGCGCGAAGATCGCGTATACTGCCCGTCCGTCAATCAGAAATAGACATTCGGTCTACTTTCCTGTGCCACTTGGCCTTCATTTTTTCCGTGTATTCTCTTGTCCAGCCCACGGCCACCGTCAACGGCGACGCACAGTTCCCGGTGGAGAAGTCCACGGGCCAACGCCTGCCCGTAGGGGGCGCTTCCATGTTCAGGCCTAGCGCGAGGCCGCACTCGCAAGACACACCACCAGGGAATGCTGAGGACGCAGCGCGCGACAAACGCAAGTGAGCCGCCCCTTCGTTTTGTTCTGCCTGTTGTTGCGACAAATCTGTTAAGGGATCTTGCTCAATCCGCTGAAGTATGTCTCAGATGACGCTGCGATCCGATGCAGCGAATCAAGCAGTGACAAAAGTGCATCGACACGGCGCACCTTCTCCTGTGGGAAATTTACTGCCTTCGTCTAAAACGATGTGCGTCGTCTGATTGCTGCTCGACATGAGGTAATCACGATCTACCGCAGCAGACCTTAGTAGCCATCCCAGAGAATCGAGCACTGCGTACAAATCACGTGACTACGCACCCTGCGCAATGCTGCGTTTGTTCAGAATTTCACGTGACATTCGCACGACATTGGAATGGCTCTCAGCGTCCGCTGCTGTCCATCGCAATGTGAAACGTAGTATAGTCGTGTCTCGATGGTCTCGATATGTCCCAGAAGGCGTAGGTAGTTGCTATAGACGCGTGAAATCATCATCTCGTTTTGTGCGCCCGTGAAAACGCGATGGCGTTCGTTTCCTTCACAACGACGACTCGCGTGCAGCGTGACGCACCGCGCACCGCCACATCCGCTTCCCCAGGCCACGTAGCACATCCTCTCCCGATCGCTCCGGACCATCCGTGCTGCCACTGGCTATGGCCTTCCGAAAATCGTACAGCCGTGTGGCGAATATATAGCAAATCCGTAGCATGCCGTTGTCGGACAGAACCAACACCACCCAGACAGAAGGCCTCCGCACCGTCATCACAGTAAAGCGCGAGACACATGCGCGTCAAAACTGTCCGATCCGGCGTGCGAACTGTCGGGAATATGGCTGCTCCGAAGTGCCGCACAGGACGGTTCGCGACAGATGGTTTCCGACGCGTCGTTGCGTCGCTCCGTTCAACTCCGCCCAGTTTCGGGTGTCCCTCTACCAAATGGATGGATGGACGCTAATGGATATATTGATAACGGGCGGTAGCTCGCGCCACCTAGCCTAGACAACTAAAATACTTCCCTCGCCCTTCTTGGTTTTTCTGAATTGAAAACAAACATAATATTTTAATTACATTCTATTACAGTGTGCGTGTGTGAAGATTTTCCGTGAGGCTACTTTTCTGCTCAACCTCACTAATCGCGAAGGACCGCAGCGGACCTTAGAAGTCATCCCAGCGAAACGAGCACTGCGTACAAATCAGGTGACTATGTACCGCGCGCATTGCTGCGTGTCTCCCGAAGTTCACATGACACTCACATGACGTTGGAATGGCTCGTAGCGTCCGCTGCTGTCCATCCTAAGGTGAAACCAAGTATATTCGGGTTTCGACGGTCTCGATCGATCCCAGAAGGCCAGCTTGCTTTGGCGCGCGAAAACAGCAGCTCGTTTTGTGCGCGCGGGAAAACTCGATGGCGTCCGTTTCCTTCACAGCCACGACTCGCGTCGCGTGACGCACCGCCACATCCGCTTCCCCGAACCACGTAGCGCCTCCTCGCCCGATCGGTCCGAAAGTCACGTGACAGCATGACCTTCGCGCCATCCGTGCTCATTGGCTGCGGCCCTCCGAAAATCGGACCGTGCGTGCGGCGATATCTGGCAAGTTGGTCGCATGCCGGCGCCAGACGGAGCCCCCGTTTGACGATCCGGTGCGACGAAAACCCTCGCCCTCGGACGTCGTTCCGACAGTTCGCACATAGGATGCGACACACGTGACGCGCGACTGCCCGACATCTTGTCCTACTTGGGAGTCTCCAGATGGCGCTTCAAACGACAGGTGTAAGGCTTAAACAGACAGGGTATTTATTTATGCTCGTCCAAGTTGTAATGCGAAAGCATTATCTGTCCCAAACAGCGAAGCCGGTGTTGTCTATAACCGCTGTCTGTAACCGTTTGTAGCAGAAAACGGCACTTGAATTCGAATTGTCAATAAAACAGAAAGAAAAACACATCAACCCAGATGCCTCGTCACGGAAGCCGGCGGGTGCGCTCAAGGTCAAAGCGGACGAACTTGAGAAAGAAAACACGAAGAAAAGCGCAGCAACGCAATGCTTCGTCTCAGATGCCGTCGTGAAGCCGGAAGGTTTCAAAGCGCCGGGCAGTGCGCTTTGAAACCTTCCGGCTCTCTTTGAAACCTGCGCTCCGTGCGCGAAACGAACACGTGGGGTGTTTCTTGTAGGAATGCGTTGCGTGTAGAAATGTCTTTAAATTCCCACACGTAAGCAGCCTTCAGTTTCTTTGCAGAAGTTTTTTTTTTTTTTTTCTCAAATTTTAACATGATCTAAAAGAGTTCAACTACTAAGAACAGAATTTGCCGCTCAAAATTCGTTGTCTTTACGCCCGAAAACAGCCGGTCGAGAATTGGCCGCGTCCAATCGCGCTTTCTCTCTCTTCCATGGTCATGTGGCACTCAAACTATGCGTACAAAATATATTTAAAGTTGCGGGTCATCTGTGAACATTAGATGACCCACGACATTCATAATTATAAATAGAAATGAATTAGAACCCTGTTTTGTGGCCTCCAAGAAAGTGCAAATACGGTGATCGAAATAAAGAAGTAAGTTACAAAGATCACCGCAAGTACATTTACTACGTCATTCTCAATATGGCGAACTACCGCGAGTTGGACGACGTGATGGCGGCTCACGACGGACGAACGTTGCCACGAAGGTGGGGCCACTACTACGGAACTGTCGTTCGTGGTACCGGCCAATCGATCTTCAAGCGTAGAGCATTGAACGGAAGGGATAGAAGTGCGAAACTATCTTGAAATAAGCGCTGCACCCAACTTCGTCGTCGTCGTTGTCTGCGTCACATGCCGGACAAGTGGAGAAGAAAAAAACGCGCTCGGGTGTAACCACGTGACTTCCGGGATCTAACTCTCTCCTCTGCAGCTGTCCCTCCTCGGTAAACATCGTTTACGAGTCGCGGCCATGAGCTTCCGTGCTCAGGTTTCAGTTTTGGTTTCGAGCAGTTGAATTCATCGCCTTTAGTAAAAATATATGTGACTTTGTAGCAAAATATTCATTGGATAGACTCCTCGCATCATATTAAATCACCTGACACAAATTTAAAAAAGTTGGAGGCGTGTTAGTGCCTCGCTAAAGGAAGAAATGGAGAATGGTATACACCCTCCCCCTCCCTTAAGGGAGTTCCACAGCTGAGTTTATTCTATAACGTTTTCTGCGGCATAGCTCTCACCATATAATTTGTTTTGCCGCTGCAGGATGCAGACGTTTTCTTCGTTGTTTTGCGATGGGTGCGAGCAGGAGGCGATGAAGTCGTCTCATGCAACCTGTCTATTCGCAACTCCGATTCACTATAGGTGGCGTCACTCGTTTTCCAAAATGGCGATTATAGTGAGGGTCGAAGGTGCGTGGCCATTATACCAGTTGCTGAGTCTGTATAGTGTGCTGGCTCGACTGAGCGACACAAATTATTCCTGCGTATACGAGGAAGCTGGGTTGTTATGTGCGAAGGTCACCATTTTATCCTGGAAACAAAAACGGTGTTCAGTGTATTATTTACGCAAGGAGGCACGCTTTAATTCTGGAGCGAAGCCGAACCAAACCTTTTTTTTATATTTATTTCTCCGTATAGGCGTTAATTTCGGATTCTTTCATAACTCAAGATCTGTCTCACAGCGTAACTATTGAGCTAAAGTAGTTGCTCGCGGATATTATATTCTGTGGCATACGCGTGCGATCCAGGTGCTTAAAATAGTTTGCAGTTCAGTGTCCTTTTAAAGACGGTCTTTCATACACCTTAGAGCAAACATGGAATATTGTATATGTTGAAAAAATATCTGCTGATATTAATGTGTTTTTGCTGCCTTTTGTCGCTCAGATAATTGTCATGTGAAATAATGTTGTGGGGGCCTTTTAATTGGTTTGGGGGTATTTAGATGATTAATTGCTTTCGCACTATTCCCGGTACAAAAGAGAACAATATCAATCTAAATTTTACAAAATATCGCCACCGGTCATAAGTTCGGAATATGTTTACAAAACAATTAAATTAAGATACGCTGTGTTTTGTACAACAACCCAAAGACAGAATCCGAGTCAGACAGCAGAAGTGTGTGTGTGTGTGTGTCTGTTTTTAAAGCAACGTGTGACGCACAGGACCTTATATTACATCTAGTGTTTGACTGTTGTTTTATCTTGACAACGATGTCAGAGTTCTTCATATGCTAAAAAGAACACAAAATGTGACCTTTCTGTAAGGAACATCCTTTAACGGTTAATGTATCCGTATAGATACACTGGCTTTATCTACTTTTTTCTTGTACTAAAAACTCAATACAAGGGCGTTTTGCCATTCCTTCTCAAATCTTCAGTTTCGGTTTCGGTTTCATCCATTTTCGCGTTTGTGAAGTTCGTTATAGTGACACCAGGGGGCCTAAAAGCTCCGACTGTTGTATGGGCCAGACACTGGTGTGCTTTAGTCTGGCAGCCACGCGGTAAATTTGCGTTCCTTGTATTGCCTGTTCATCACGTTGTTGGGAGATCACTGTGTGAAAGGCACAGCTGGGTGACAAACAAAAAGGTGAGTGACTTAATTTTACATTTTCTTGAATAGATTTATAAAAAATGCATGCCAAACATCAATGTATCTGTGGGGATACATTGCCCATTCAGAGATGCCTTTTGTTGGAAAGCGTAAGCTTTCTTTTTCTTTGTTTAATTGTCAGATGGAGCTGCGCCCAAGCACATTCTACTGTGCAAGACAACGAGACCGCAGCGTGCGGGCCCTTATACCCGAAAATGGCATGATTCCTGACATCGCCTCATCTGATGATGATGACCCAATCCACAGTGGGGATAGTGACGAGGACTATGTGCCCTGCAAGAGTTGGCGGAAAGAGCACCTGCGTGCAGAGAGCCCATCACCAGTAGACAGCGACACTGATCTGCCGTCAGAACAGCCATCAACATCCCATGCTGCTACACCTAGCACTTCGGCTGACGTAGCTGACCTTTGTAACACTAAAGCTCCTCGTTCTTTAGCACGTTCCAAAAAGCAGAAGAGGCCCCTGGCACTTGTATGGGAGTCAAGAGATGTGGACTATTCCCGGCATTTTTTAAGTGAGCAATATGGTCAGGGAGAAGTCAAAGCTCCGGTTAGCTACTTCAAGCTATTTTTTGACAGTGCATTCATCGAGCTCATCGTAAATGAGACGAATCTATATTCGGTACGAACTGAAGGAGCTTCAGTCAACACATCTGCTGCTGAGATTGAACAATTCTTGGGCATTTTAGTGCTAATGGGCGTTGTGAAGATGCCTGCGCTTTCCGACTACTGGTCGGACCGCCTCCGATACCCTCTCATGGCGGACGTAATGCCTGTAAAACGCTTCAAGAAGCTCCGAAGACTAGTACACTTCACGTCGACAGAAGACGCAACGGACAAGTTTACAAAAATACTGCCTGCCTTTGAACTACTTCGTGGGAACTTCAGGAAGGTTGAAGAGGAAAAACAAGAATCCATCGACGAGATGATGGTGCCTTACAAAGGCAAACGAGCTGGGAAGCTGCGGCAGTATATGAAGAATAAACCACATAAATGGGGCCACAAGCTATTTGTGCGTGCAGGCGTATCAGGCATGGTTTACGACATCCTGCCATATGCTGGAGCTGACACATTTTCTCATGTGACATTCAGTGCGGAGGAGGAGGCCCTCGGTCTTGGAGGAAAGGTTGTTGTATACCTCTGCAGAACTCTCCAGAACCCAGAAGAAAGCGCTGTGTTCTTTGATAACTTTTTCTGCAGTATTGAGCTCATAAAATATCTATCTGAAAGAGACATTTGGAACGGTGTCACTGGGCACTATACGATCTCCAAGAATGCGTGGATGTCCCCTTCTAGAGGACAAGGCCCTTTTGAAGAAAGGCCGTGGACATTATGATCAAAAGACAGAGAAGACCTCAGCTGTCACCATCATCAAATGGGTTGACAATAAAGTTGTGAACCTTGCGAGCAACTTTGTTGGCGTTCAGCCAGAAGGTACTGTCAAGCGCTTCTCGAAGGAGGAATCGAAGAAAGTTGCAGTGCCATGCCCTCGAATTGTACTGGAGTACAACAACCACATGGGAGGCGTAGACCTCGCTGATATGCTAATTGAGCTTTACAGAACACCTTTGAAATCAAAAAGATACTATTTGAAGTTGTTTGCACAGTTGCTTGATATATCTATCAACAATGCCTGGTTGCTCTATCGCCGTGACTGTCGCATTCTTCTGAATCAACCGGCACTTGCACTGAAGGACTTTCGAGTGGCTGTCGGTGAAGAGCAGGAAAGAGAAAAAGAGGTAGGCCATCTTTTGATGAGGTTCCACAAAAAAAGATCCGCAAGGCAAAGGCTTCAAGGCCAGCTGACGACGTGAGATATGACACTATTGGACACTGGCCTTCTTTCGGCACAAAAGGCAGGTGCCGGTATTGTTCCACCGGGCAAACACGTGTAAAGTGCACGAAATGTGACATGCTCCTGTGCTACACGGAACGAAGGAACTGTTTCTGGAGCTTCCACGCCGAACGTATAAATGCCGGAAAATTAGATAAAAGTGTGTCGTGCTAAAAAAAAAAAAAAAAAAAAAAAAAACTCGTTCGTTCACAGGTAACTTAAATCGATGCATGGGGATATAATTCCCCATGTGTAATTTGTTCGGGAAATTCATAATCTCGCGAAGGGAGTTTTTGTGCAATACAAAGAATTGTTTTTTTTTTTTCATTTCCGCAGTTCAATATCGTAGCTTATCACCATGTATGTCAGCACAAATGACATTCACCAACCAAAACAAAATCACACTTTCTTCGAACGCATTGCTACATATTAAAAAAAAAATAAAAACCAAAAGAGCAAATAATAATAGGCCTCGTGAACAATTATAGCAAACAACGAAGACATTATTTATTTTGTTTAATCTACGCGCTTCGATATACTTTGCACAATTCGGAAGGTGCATCTGGTGTTTCAGATAAGAACGGTTGACCATGTCCGGTGATCATTTTTAATTCTGACTAGAAAAATGCATCTTGCCGCCACAATGCCCAGGAAAACGGAACCGGTCGCTCTTGTTGTTGTTTTATTTTTTTTTTTTCTTTAAGGGGGGGGGGGGGGGGGGGGCGGGGTTGCCTCCAAGAAAAAAAAAATGTCAGAAACGCCTGGTCAATCTGAAGCGTTGTTTGCGGATTTCGCAACATTGGCATTTCAAGCAACTTTCCCCCAAAATCTGTTGTGACTACTGGCCCAGAAATATTTACCGACAAAGTAAGTATGGGAATGATTGACTCAAATTATTTATCACGAAGTATCGACGTCGTTATTTTGAAATAAAAAATCGCACAGACGACTGCACAATGAGCCGTACAGCTTAAGTTTTATCTTTTTTTCTCCGCATTTATTCAAGCCAGGATTTTCAAACTTTGGTTGCGTGTTATCCTCTATTTGGCTAATCTTCATGACAAGTATTGTTGTCCTTGTTAGCGGGAAAAGTTCACGAAAAACGCTCAAATAAAGGCATTTTCGTAAATGTGCATAATTTTGAAAATCAATTTAAAAAGAAAGGCCATCTTCGATTTTTTTCAAACTCTTTCCAGTTAGCGCCAGTGATATGTACTAACAGGATGTGCAAAAACATGTTGCATTATTAGTGTGTCTTTAAAGTTACAAAGCAAGAAAATCTGGCCAAATGGAGGCTACCGCGGTTGCCATGAATGAGGCCTGTGCGTATGCCTATTTGACAATTTCATTATTTTTACACAGCGTAAAACTTCTCCCGGGTGGTCAGATTGACAGCACAGAGGTGGAGGGTACTTCTGAAGTGATGATTCTTGATACGTCTTTTTTTGTCCTTATTATTAGCACAAGACTCACAAAAATGCGCAGAAGCTGGAGCAATCGCGAGACGCTAGCCTGTCGCACGCTTCGCAGGGCCCGTTTTCTATTCGCCTCGAGATCGAACCGTGCCGCCACTGTGCGGCCGAAATTGGAAACGCGCGAAAGCGGGGATACCGCCGTGCGTCGTCTGCTACGGGCGCACGCTCAGAAGCATGGACCTCGACGACGCAAGCCCGTTTCCGGCTGAGCTTGATATTCCTTATTAAATTCTTTATGTTTTTGTTGCCGTTTCTTCTTACTAAAGGTTGTGTTGTATCGTTTGCCATGCGTAGAAATTCAGCAAAGCGATTATTATTAAGTCGGAAGCTTCCATAATCTTAGTGTGTTGTTTTTTATACAATCGCTGGTCCCACGTATTTTTGTTATCTCGCACAAACCGTGGCTTTCATAAAGCATTGAATGTTGAGTGGGTTTGTGGTTTGATTAGAAAATTAACCCGACTAATCGCTATCCTTAAAATAGACTAATCAATTAATCCGTACGTTGATTTTTTCCCGGTCATATTGCGTGAAAGACGTTAAAACTACATATTTTGTACTGGTTTTACTATGTCACAAATGGCATATTGCATTCCCATTCTAGACTTCACGCTGTGAGTCCTACATAAATATGATCACGGGAAGCCTTTTAAAATAAAGTATTTCTTAAGTTATTATTTAAACAGTATAATCACCCTCGGCGAAATGACAAGCACGCTGAAGTGGTTTACCGTGCAAGCTAGTGTCACAAAAGAAATAAAGACGTCAAAAATATTGAAGCCGGCATATTTTACTGCTTGCTGACTTTCTCCAGTACTAGACTCCAATTGAATGGCAAAAAAAAAATTGAAATTAAAGCATTACTTGAATAATCTAAAAGTTAATCGATGAACTGCCCAGTCCCGATATAGGTTAGGTGAGGGCGGAGGGAGATCGGAAAGTCTCGTGAAGGTCGCTAGCCCTCATCAGTAAAAGAGTATCACTGCGGCCGATGCTGTCTGTGTCGTGGTGCGCGTCGTTTGTTGGGGTTGCAGAGTCTACTGTGTTTGAATACAAGATTATTTAGCCAGAAATGTGTAGTATTAGCCTCTTGACATCCGCGGCCCTCACCAAGAAAATTGAAGGGGGTGAACCCACACTACCGAGAACAGCATTTAATAGCAGGAACATTGTTGCGTTGCTCGGTTACACTCGTTTATTACAGTCACGGCAGATATATTAGAACAGTTTGTTTCACTTGTTTCAGTTGTCCTGCCAACCGTGCAGTTTGCAGATTTTAACTAGAAGAGACACTCACTCCTCATCGCAACGCAGTAGATTTGTTCAGACTCCAAAAAATTTACCCACACTATGGCACAGTAAAAGGGCAGAGGAACTCAATAGCATGGTAATTTCTAATACAACGCTAGCTTATCTTCATTCTGAATATTTATATTACTCAAAAGCTTGACGTTAAAAAAAACATAGAAGCTGCGATTTCACAGCCCACAGTACCAGTATTATGTTAACTGGGTCGGACTTTATTTTTATTTTTTTTTTATTTCCACGTTGATGAACCGATACATCCATTTTAAAAGAAACAAATATTTAACATAAATATTCCAGTTCAGCCGGAGGCAGGCATCAGTCGTGGTGATCCATGCTTTCCAAAGTCTGCCTAGAGCAGACGACGCACCCACAGAAGCGATTATATAAATTTGGGCCGCACGCTGGTAACACGATTCGATCTTCACTGAAGCACCGAACAGTACTGCATCTTTTTCCGCTAGAATTGTTTTCCCACCGATAGTATGCGACAAAATAAACGGAAGAATCTACGCCGTCTCGCGCGCCGACGTGGAGAGCCTATGGGGCGGCCGTTCTCCTATCCCCGCTTTGATGATGATGATAGCGCGACCGTAGCGCCACCTCTAGGTCGATCTCGAGGCGAATAGCGGGCGTGTAGCGTCTCTGCGCACCCCACGTAGGGGAAACGATCGGTGCGGCTCCGATAACAGGCGTTTAGGTAACAGGATATAGGGCTCTAACACGATATTGAGGTTAGGGCGCCGTACAACGGTGGCACCTCGGCCGTGGTAAGCCGCACACCGCAAAAAAAAAAAAAAAAAAAGAGAAAGAAAGATTTTTGTTTGTTTATAATGCAATTAAATGCAAAGGTGCAAGCGAACTGGACAGTTCGTTTGTTTGAGACTTTTTATGCTCCCTTTTCATCACATTTTTGTCTTAGACTCATTGTAGCCGCTTCGCACTAGCCTGGCAGCAGGCCTGGGTGGAATCGAGCCTTTATTGTCCAAGTGGCTTGTTTGTAGACGCTATCGTTCGTGCTACGAGCAATTCGTGGCGAAGTGAGTTGACGCATGTATACACTGTCAGCAGTGCCAGGATTGAATTCCTGGCACGGGATGGAGGGAATTCCAGGCACGGGATGGAGGGAATCCCTTGCACGGGATGGAGGGAATCCCAGGCTGTTGTTTTCATTTCAACTGAACTCCTAAAAGTCAGCCCTTGCTAATCAATGCCGTGCCGTGGGCGACTCGGCACGAGCCTCACAAACCCGCGAATCCGCTGCGAGCATCGAATGCGACGTCATCACGTGTCATTTACGTCACCCTACCGAAGGAGACGTGAAGCGCCGTCCGCGAATTTCTCGGGGCACGGAAGCACTGTGAAGGCTGTCACTAGCGGCGTTTTGGTTGCGTTTCGACTACACTGAAGGAAATGCAACTGTAACGAACCAAAATGTGGTTTACGTTCTTTCCCGAGGAGTTTTAAGGGACACGAGCTCTCATTTCGCTGCTAGACCCAGATACGTTACGCACTCATTCGCCTCGGAGGGAGAGCGCCTTTTCACGCCTTCGACGCGCGCGCCATCTGGATTCTTGAAAAGTTCCTATCGGAGATGAAAATCGAGGAGCGCTCCCTCTTAAGATTGATAAGAAACATGCTCATATGATGATGCATGTCTACAGCATAAGCTTTGCAGATCTAGAATGGATGTGCTATAGGCTACAGCCTCAAGATTTTTAATGGACCAAATTGGTGATTACACGGCAATAAATATTGTGGTGAAAAACTGCCCACTGACTCGGTGAGTGTTGATTGTGACCATTGGTGTGCTGTTGGCAAATTAGGTAATGGCACGCCTTTTCCCTGACCATCTGGCTTCAGGGGACATTGCATCTAGATATGCTTAAATAACTTTATTTCAAGGTTCAGTGGACCCCTCTGCATCATTACAGGAAGGCAGTCTCAAGTTACAACAAACAGCAGTGAATATACAATGCATAATAACAGGCACCAGTGTCCAGGCGTATAGTACGCAGAAGCCAATTTGAGCCTAAAAATGTTTTTATTTTGTTTAGATAGTTTGCATTTGGTGTATAATCCGCAGGGCCCGATTTCCGCGCCCAGTGCATAGTCCGCCAAGCTGGTGCGTTGCATCTTCATGCTTTTTTTCCTGAGTGGCATTTTCTTCAGAAGTTCTTCGGCGAACGCTATTGAGCCT